ACGTCACGAGAGTGAAAGAAGCGGTGAGACGGCGGGTGGTAAAAGTGCCAGTCGGACGCGTTAAGGGGAAAACCGAGGAAGACGCAGGGAAGGGTGCGGGCAGTGAGCTTGTCCGTGCCGGAGGCACGAACGTGAGCAAGGCAGCCCCAGATGTGGAACGCAGACGCGTCACCAGGAGACCCAGTCCACAGACGGGTCGGCGAAAACTGCGGCTGCTGAGGGTGCGGCCACAAGTTAAGCTGGTGAGAAGCGTAGCGCACAGCGAACGGCCACAGAAAATGGGGTGCATCGGCATGGATCATGGAGGTGCGAGCCACCTCCATGACCAAACCGATGCGTCGCTCAGCGACCCCATTCTGCTGTGGGGAGTCCGGTAGGGTGAACGTCTGAGTGATGCCCTCCGCACGACAAAAGCGACCAAGGACACCTGAGGCAAACTCGCCACCACGGTCTGAGTGGAGATGCAAGATAGGGAGACCGCCGTGGACACGCGCAGAGACAAGCCAAGGGATGAGAGCGCCAAGCACGTCAGCCTTGCGCTCCAGGGGAAAGACTGTGGTGTAGCGAGTGAAGTCGTCGACAAGCACAAGGAAGTAGCGCTCTCGACGCGGCCCAGGGACGGGGGCGGGGCCCCAGACGTCCAGGTGCAGGGTCTGCAGCGGCGTGGCGGTAGGGGGAAACGAGGAGGAGTGAGGGGCACGGCGAAGCCGACCCTCAACGCAAGGCGTGCAAGGTGGGGCTGGGGAGGAGGGAAACGCAGGGAGAGAACCTGGGAGACCAAGGACAAGACCGTGCTGGGACATGTGACGCAAACGCGGGAGCGCAGGGTGACCTAGGCGGTGGTGCCAAAAGGAGGGTCAGGTGAGTGAGAGACCAACAAGAGCACGCAGCAGCAACCTGGGTGAGCGTTCCAGCCGGGGGGGTCACGGTGTCCAGAGTGAACAGGCCGGACACCGGGTCCCGGGGGAACGTGGACAGGGGGGCACCAGTGGCGGCCTCGGTACAGACAGCATACCGCTCGTGACCAGGGAACGTAGTGGTGACGCCAAGGTCCTGGAGGCAGCCGACACCAACTAGGTTCCTGGAGAACGAGGGGATATGCAGACCTGTAAGAGAGCCCGAAGGAACCGCCGGACAGGGAAGGGTGGTGGAACTGCGGGCGACGACCGGACCGCTAGAGGGGTCAGCGAGAGAAACGGCAGCAGGGACGGGAAGCGGCGTCAGTGTGGTGGAGTCGCGGAAGAAACACCGAGAAGCGCCAGAGTCCAAGGTGAAGGAAAGCGAAGCAGAGGCGTCTGGCGACGGAACGACGGCGGAAGCACCAAGACTACACAAAGCAGGGGATCCTACGCCTGACGCAGCAGGGGAGGCTAAGCTAGGCACACCTACACTAGGCAACAGTGAGTAATAAGCTGGAAGCACACTAGAGTCATCAGCATACATCACATGCAGAGCATAAACAATGGCATCCATTCCATATCAAAGATCTGAATCTTACGACTAAGCAAACTGTGCCAGTCCGGGAGGTCTGGCAACGGGCCGTAGCGCTGACGAAAGAGGTCGTCCAGGCGACGAAAACAGCGGGGAGTGGAGTGACCGATCTTACCGCAAACGAAGCCGCGGCGAGGACCGGTCTGGATCTGGTACTGACAGCGCCCGCCGCCAGAGCTACCACTCGACACACCACCACGCGCCCGGCCACCGCCAGCGCCGGGCCACCCGGGCGGGAGGACACTCGTCTGCCGCGTCTGCGACGGCTGCTGCGGCTGCTGCGAAGGCTGCGACTGCGGCGGCTGCTGCGGCTGTTGCAACTGCAGGGGCGGCGGCTCAGCTGAACTGGGCAGGGTCCCCTCGTCCGCTCCAGCACCAGACGACCCGACCCCACCACTACCCCCTCCCGCACCCCCGCCTCCGCCTCCGCCGCGCCCAACCTTGGGGCGGCGGCCCTTCCCCGAACGAAACTGCGCAGCAGCAGCAGTCTCAGCCACTGCGACAGAGCCGTCGGAGAAGGTACACTGGGCGGGGGCACAACCCTGAAAGATAGGGACAGGCACGACACCGCTCGCCTGGGCGATGGAGCGGTGACGGGTCTCTATCACAGTCAGAGTGTCTACAAAGTCAGTGAGGGTGAGGTCGGCGGGGTGAAGGCTAAGGAAGCGGTCGCGCGCGACAGCAAGGCGGTCAGGGTGGCGGGTGGCAAGCAGGTAGAGGGTAGAGGTAATGGGCGGCTGGTGGGCTCTAAGCTGTGCGTCAGTGCAGGCGGCGCGCCAGGTCTCCTCTATCGAGCGCAGGTGGGCAGCGAGGTCAGAGACAGTGGGGAAAGAGGCAAGGTCAGGAAAGAGCAGCGGGAGGATCAGGCGACCCACCGAGGCAGCCGGAGGGGTGGAATAGCGCTTGATGACAGCATCTAAGTATGCCTGAGCAGTAGTGAGGGACCTAAAGCGAGGACGCTTGGACGGGGGGAGGGCGTTGCTAATGGCAAGCTGGGCGACAGCATCGCGGGAAAGCCAGACAGAGCGCGCACGGGCAGTGGCAGCAGTAGACTCACGCTCAGTGGGTGTGGGGTCAGCGGGCAGAATAGCAGGGGGGTCTGGGCAGGGGAGCGTACCGTCAAGATGTGCAGAAAGCGGTTCACCATCCTGCCGTTGGCCAGTGAGTTGGCGGCGGAGGTCGGCAAGCCACGCCTCGAACTCTAGGGGCTGACCTTCAGCGTTGAAGCGAAGCTCCGCCGCCATCAGGAACGGTCCAGTGCGCTGCAGGGCAGTGCAGCTAGGTGGAGTGCGGTGCAGTGCGGTACAGTGCGGTGCAGTGCGGTGCAGTGCGGTGCAGTGCGGTGCAGTGCGGTGCAGTGCGGTTCAGTGCGGTGCAGTGCGGTACAGTGCGGTGCAGTGCGGTGTAGTGCGATGCCAGGCAGTACAGTGTGATGCGAGGCGGCACGGAGCAGGGCGGGGTGGGGGGGAACCGTACCAGTGAGGAGGACGGGGCCGGGGCTGGCCCGACGGGGCCGGGCAGGCGCTACGGGGCCGGGCTGGTGCGACAGGGCCGGGACGGGGCGACGGGGCCGAGCGGGCGCGACGGGGCCGGGCTGGGGCGACGGGGCCGGGCGAGTGCGGCAGGGCCGGGCCGGTGCGACGGGGCCGGGCGAGCGGGACGGCGGCCGGGCAGGTGCGACGGGGCCGGTCGGCTGTGACGGGGCCGGGCAGGGTGCGACGGGGCCGGGCGGGTGCGACGGGGCCGGGCGGCTGCGACGGGGCCGGGCAGGGTGCGACGGGGCCAGGCGACTGCCACGGGGCCGGGCGGCCGCGACGGGGCCGGGCGGGTGCGACGGCGCCGGGCGGGCGCGACGGGGCCGGGCGGCTGTGACGGGGCCGGGCAGGGTGCGACGGGGCCGGGTGGGTGCGACGGGGCCGGGCGGCTGCGACGGGGCCGGGCAGGGTGCGACGGGGCCAGGCGGCTGCGACGGGGCCGGGCGGGCGCGACGGGGCCGGGCGGGTGCGACGGTGCCGGGCGGGCGCGACGGGGCCGGGCGGCTGCGACGGGGTCGGGCAGGGGCGACGGGACCGGGGGGGGGTACTACGCGGCCCAGGAGGGGCGCTACGGGGCCCAGGAGGGGCACGACGGGGGCCCAGGAGAGGCGCTACAGGGGCCCAGGAGGGGCGCAACGGGGCCCAGGAGGGGCGCGACGAGGCCCAGGAGGGGCGCTAAGGGGCCTAGGAGGGGCGTGACGGGGCCTGGGAGGGGCGCTACAGGGCCCAGGGAGGGCGCGACGGGGCCCAGGAGGGGCGCTACGGGGCCCAGGAGGGGCGCGACGGGGCCCAGTAGGGGCGCTACGGAGCCCAGGAGGGGCGCGACGGGGCCTGGGAGGAGCGCGACGGGGCCCAGGAGGGGCGCTACGGGGCCCAGGAGGGGCGCTACGGGGCCTGGGAGGAGCGCGACGGGGCCCAGGAGGGGCGCTAGGGGGCCTGGGAGGGGCGCGACGGGGCCTGGGAGGGGCGCGACGGGGCCTGGGAGGGGTGCTACGGGGCCCAAGAGGGGCGCTACGAAGCCCAGGAGGGGCGCGACGAGGCCCAGGAGGGGCGCTACGGAGCCCAGGTTGAGCGCTACGAAGCCCTAGGAGGGGCGCGACGGGGCCTGGGAGGAGCGCGACGGGGCCCAGGAGGGGCGCTAGGGGGCCTGAGAGGGGTGCGACAGGGCCCAGTGAGGGGCACGACGGGGCTAGGGGGGGTCGCGACTGGGTGAGCGGAAGCGGTAGGTGGGGGGGATTCCTACCTACGCGTGATACCATATCAAATTGAAAATTGAATGTATGATAGAGTGAGAGTACACAAAGATATACCTAAGTGTTGTACTCTCTAAGAGGCGACCCTATACAGTCTATACAAACATGACAAATACACATGTTTGACATATTTGGGGGGGTGACCCTGATGAGACAGGTTTTTTTCACGACAATGGCCTGAAATTTCAGCGTTTTTCTAGGAGTGAACTCTGATTGATAAGCGTGACAAGTGTAGTGAGGCCTGTTTTTCGGGGCCCGATCCTGATTCTTGTAATAGCGTATTCCTAGCCCCAACCCCCCCACCCGTGATTTTCGTGATTTCCCCCCCCAACCTCCCTGTCAATCACGCCGACTTGACTGTGACCGACCAGAATCCCGCCCCCCTGGAGAGGATTCGGCCATTCTTCATCCAGCACACAATACTCGGCAGGTTCTCATAGGCTGTTCGAAAGTAGCCAGCCACTGCTGTCTCCAGCACATACCGTAGGTGACGGTTGATTCAGTGCGAAAAAATTACAACACCCTGATTGATCAGCGTAAGATTTTTTGCGAGGCCTGAAAAAACAGGGAGCTAAAGGAGGGGGACCCTGAGCGATCAGCTTGCCCCAAAACGAATCTGAGGCCCTGGTGTACGGTCATTTGTTGGACGAAGATCATGTATGTATCCCATATGAAACGCTGCCTTTGCAAGAGGACCTAAGCAAGCTCACAATGCTCCATTTTTACTGCAGCTAGTCCAAATCATAGAATGGAAAGCTATAACAATATTCCAGTGATATAAAATCAAGCCTAGCTACAACTACCGTACGTAAAATCTGGTGAGAAAACTTGCAGCGGCTACCACACAAGGCATCTGAAAGCTCCTCTTGATTGCAACCAGATTGCCTAAGCTGGCGAGAAAAGCTGACTAAAGCATCCCAGGCCCAGCTGACTAATGCATCCCTCCCAGCTGACTAAAGCTGACTACAGCATCCCAGTCCCAGCTGACTAATGCATCCCAGCTGACTAAAGCTGACTAAAGCATCCCATAGGCTGATGCGCTACACTGCTGCAGCTGCTGCTGCGTCGCCCGCCTACAGAAGCTCATACACTACGGGTAGAGCCACCCTGCTGTGCCTTTGGCTGTGCCTGCTGCTCCAGGCAGCTCCCGCCAACGCGTGCATCCTCCTTCCCCACCCTGCTGCTTGATCCATCCCTCTCTCTCCTTCCCTGACACACTCTAAGCCTGAGCATCTTCCAAACCACTCTGCACCGTTTGGGACACAGCTCTCAGCCCTTCAAACCACTCCGTGGCTTGATCCGACCCCCCCACCCACATAGTCTACGCCTGAGCCTCCTCCAAACCACTCTGCACCGTTTGAGATGCAGCTCTCAGCTCTTCAAACCACTCCTCCGTTGCTTGTTTTGACCCACTCCCAAACCCCTGCTCTCCCCCCCACTCCTCCCCCCACCTTCATTCGCAATGTCTGACTGCTGTGCGTACTGCATCAGCTCCCCCCGACAAGCTGACTTTGAAGTCGATTCAAAAGTCTGCTGCGCGCACTGGAGGCACCTCCTGCAGACTCTCCTCCTCTCCCTTAACCGATCCATCCCTCTTTTTCCCCCACCCAACTTACTCTAAGCCTGAGCATCCTCCAAACCACTCTGCACCGTTTGAGAGGCAACCCTCAACTCTTCAAACCACTCTTCTGTTGCCCTGTCTGACCCGCCCAGCCCTTGCTCCCCCACCCACTCCTCCTCCCCGGCAATGAGCTCGTCTGCCACACCCTCGTCCGCGATGTCAAACTGCTGTGCATACTGCAGCAGCTCCTGCAGACTCTCCTTCTCGCGCTTCAGCATAGTCACCTCCCGGGCCAGCTCTGCCTTCTCTCGTAGCAGACGCTCCACTTGCATGCGCAGCTGCAGGGGAGAAGGGGAGAGGGGGAGAGCGGATACACAAGGAGAAGGGAGTGTGAGAGAGGGGATGTGCATACTGCAGCAGCTCCTGCAAACTCTCCTTCTCGCGCTTCAGCATCATCACCACCCGGGCCAGCTCTGCCTTCTAACGTAGAAGACGCTCCACTTGCATGCGCAGCTGAGGAGTTGACAGGGGTGGGTGCGTGCGGGGGAGGTGGGGATTGAGTCTCAATCGATGCGCCAGCTCTGCCTTATCCCTCAGGAGACGTTCTACTTGCATGTGCAGCTGCAGGGGAGAGAAGGGGGGGGAGGGTGGGGGGGAGTGGAGGATTGAGTCTGAATCGATGCATCAGCTCTGCCTTCGCTCGTAAGAGGTGCATCTCTTGCATGGGCAGCTGACGAGAGGTGAACAAGGGGGGGGTGAAGGGGGAATGTGAGTCTGAATCGACAGGCCAGCTCAGGTGTCTCCCTCCCTCAACCGAGGCTTCACTCGCACGCGAGGCTGAGTGGGAGAGAGGGGATAAAGGATAAAGGGAAAGGGCACAAGAGGAAGCACATGCATACGTGTGATGTGATGTGTGTCTGTGTGTGTGTGTGTGTGTGTGCATGCGTGTGTCCTTCCTTCACCTCCAGCAGCTCCTTCTGCTGCTTCAACTCCTCCCCCTCTTTCTAAGAAGAGCGCCCCTACAAGCAAGTTGCTCATTCAATGAGGGCAGGCTCGCAACAGCAGCACGGGCACGGCTCACACCCAACAGCAAGAGCCATGGCTCACACCCAACAGCAAGAGCCACGGCTCACACCCAACAGCAAGAGCCACGGCTCACACCCAACAGCAAGACCCACGGCTCACTTCCAACAGCAAGAGCCACGGCTCACACCCAGCAGCAAGACCCACGGCTCACACCCAACAGCAAGAGCCACGGCTCACATCCAACAGCAAGAGCCACGGCTCACACCCAACAGCAAGAGCCACGGCTCACATCCAACAGCAAGAGCCACGGCTCACACCCAACAGCAAGAGCCACGGCTCACACCCAACAGCAAGAGCCACGGCTCACATCCAACAGCAAGAGCCACGGCTCACACCCAACAGCAAGAGCCACGGCTCACATTCAACAGCAAGAGCCACGGCTCACACCCAACAGCAAGAGCCACGGCTCACACCCAACAGCAAGAGCCACGGCTCACATCCAACAGCAAGACCCACGGCTCACACCCAACAGCAAGAGCCACGGCTCACATCCAACAGCAAGACCCACGGCTCACATCCAACAGCAAGAGCCACGGCTCACACCCAACAGCAAGAGCCACGGCTCACATCCAACAGCAAGAGCCACGGCTCACACCCAACAGCAAGAGCCACGGCTCACAATGAAGGTGTCTTCCTGCGAGTTGCGCAGCCCCTCGTTCTCCACCTCCAGCCTCTCCACCTGCTGCTTCAAGTCCTCCACCTCCTTCGCCAGGTCGCTCTCCTCCTTGCGGGACCCCGACCGCACGTACCGCTCACTCTCCCGGTTCTGCTGGGCCACACACAGGAAGGGGGGGAGGTGGGGGTTGGTGGGGTGGGGGACCTTGAGGCGCCTTATGGCTCTTCCACCTCCTTCGCCAGGTCGCTCTCCTCCTTTCTGGATCCCGACCGCACGTAGTGCTCAAGTCTCGGCCCTGCTGGGGCACAAGGGGAGGCGGGGAAAGGGGGGAAGGAAGGGGAGGGGGGGGGGGGGGGGCGGGGGGCGGGCTGTGAGGCCTAGCTCCTCCAGCTCCTTCGCCAGGCCGCTCTCCTCCTTTCGACGAGGTGCCCTGCACGCACATAGCGCTCGCCCTCTGGGAGCTGGTAGGGCAATGGAGGGAGGGGAGAGGCTACGGCTCTCCCCCAGCAAAGAGCAAGGATCCCCTGGGCCGAGGCACCCTGCGCTCGCCCTCTCGGTGCCGGTGCGGGGCAAAGCGAAAAACAAAGCGAGTGAAGGGAGGAGATGAGACGAGCTGGGCTTTCCCTTTCACTCCCTCGAGTGATCCCTTCTCCCGGCACTATCACCCTATCCCCAGCTTCCCCGCTCCCTCGCTCCCACCTCCCTCTTCCTCTCTACTGCCCTCACTCCTTTCCCCTCCCTCAACTCAACCCCCTCCCTTCCTTCCTTTCCCCAATCCCTTCTCTTTGTCGTATCTTGCTGACGCACCTTCCCCAGGTTAATCAGCTCTTTGTACCCAAGTTGCTTGGGTGATTCCGGAGGAGGTCCTTTAGCGGCCACTTCCTCCGCTATTTCAGGCAGCAGGCGGAATTCACCTGAGGGAAACACGGGGAGGGGGGAACATGGGGATTCGGGAGCATGGGGGGGGAGAAACACAGGGAGGGGGGAATACAAGGAGGGGGCAATACAGGGAGGGGGGAATACAGGGAGGGGGGAATACAGGGGCGGGGGAACATGGGGGAGGGGAGAACACAGGGAGGGGGGGAAGATGGGGGATGGGGGAACGCAGTGACTGGTAAGCATGGAAGATGACTTCTGAGGTGCCTCAAAGGGGGAGACTACTTTTGAGGCGCCTCAAAAGAGGGGGAAGATGGGGGATGGGGGAATGTGATGTGATGACTGGTGACGATGGGGGATGGGGGAATGTGATGTGATGACTGGTGACGATGGGGGATGGGGGAATGTGATGACTGGTAAGCAGGGGAGATTGGAGAGAAGTGGGGTAATGCGGGCGACTACCATCGCTGCCCCTTCTTGCGAATGCAATCTCATTACTGCGACATTCACGAGCTGGCCTCATTACAGCAGTCACCCACATTTCTGTCACACTTCTTACAGTCACACTCACCCATCCCAGCCACACTCGTTACAGTCGCAATCAACACAGGCGCTCTCACCATGGTGCCCTCAGCGGCACTTTAACGAGGAGTGGTCCTTGTAGAGGGGGCTGGTCCACTATTGCTAGTTACTCGTTACAGTCACACCCGTTACAGTCACACTCACCATGGTGACCTCTGCGGCACTTGAGCGAGGAGAAGTGGTCCTTGTAGAGGGGGTTGGTCCACCAGCGCTGCATCTTCTGCGAGCTGAAGGGGCCCTGCACCTCCCCGTGCATGTCCACGTAGAACCACTCCTGGGAGAAGCAAGGGAGGGGCGCAGAGAGGGGCGCAGAGAGGGGCGCAGAGAGACATGCGAGGAGGCATGCACGTGTGAAGGGGGGCTGTGGGAGGGGAGGGACATGCGAGCTGAAGGGGCCCTGCGCCCCGCCATGCATGTCCACGTAGAACCACACTCCTGGGGGGACGAGAGGGGCGGGGTCACGGAGAGGAGCAGGAGGGGAGAGGGGCGAAGAAACACGGGAAGGGGCCCTGCCCTGCGCTTGGCTTCCCCGTGCATGTCAACGTGCAACCACTCCTGCTCCGAACAGATGGCAGTGGAGAAGAGAAGAATCCGGAAGCCAGGGACGGATACACGGAAAGGGACAGAGGGAGGCAGAGGGAGGAGGGGAGGGAATGGTTGGCATTGGCCCGGCTTGGCCTCACAGGAACACATTCCTGCCTGCCGGGCCCTCCAGGGGAATAAAAGAAAAGGAACAAGCCTTACACAATTTACAATCAGAAGAATGCGTTTTGTTTTTTAGAATTCTAAAAAACAAAACACATCACAGGAACACATTCCTGCCTGACCCTCGAGGAGAATAAACGAAAAAGGAACAAGCCTTACACAAGTTATAATAAGACGTTACGAAAAAAATTACCTGCCCGGGTGTCCTGAATAGGTTTGTGATTGGATCGTCCTGAGCCCCGGGACTTCCGGAAATCAGGCTGACGACTGGTATGGCAGCTGACGTGGCGGTTGCAGGGGACCCGTCTCTCCGCGGCGAGATCCCCGCCAGAGCGGCTGCTGACGCGGCAGTGGCTGCTTCGAGAGAGACCGCTGTTCGCGAGGGGGTCCCTCCTGCTGCTGCGTCGGGGGCGGGCTGGGGAAAGGGAGGGGAAAGGGAGGGGAAAGGGAGGGGAAAGGGAGGGGAAAGGGAGGGGAAAGGGAGGGGAAAGGGAGGGGAAAGGGAGGGGAAAGGGAGGGGAAAGGGAGGGGAAAGGGAGGGGAAAGGGAGGGGAAAGGGAGGGGAAAGGGAGGGGAAAGGGAAATCAATGGGGAACGAGAGTGAGGATGGATTGGGGCGCAGCAGTTGCTGTTCGCGAGAGGGTCCCGCCTGCTGCTGCGTCGGGGGCAGTTTGGAGGGGAGGTGAGGAACGGCAAGAGGGGAGAGGGGCATGGGAGACGAGGGTGTGAAGGGTGGTAAAACGGGAGGACAGGGCTTAAAGCAGAAGGAGCGCCGGGGCCTTTATTTTCCTTACCTACCCTCCGTCGTCTGTTCAGAGCCTCTTTCCTCAAACACTCAAACACTCAAACACTCAAACACTCAAACACCCACCTGCACGTGTTCCCTTCACTCACCTGCACGTGTTCCCTTCACTCACCTGCACGTGTTCCCTTCACTCACCTGCACGTGTTTCCCCCTTCACCCACCTGCACGTGTTTCCCCCTTCACCCACCTGCACGTGTTTTCTGGCGCGCAGCAGTTGTCGCAGGTCCAGCACGTCTCGCAGCGTGTGCCATCGGTGCGTGCCCTCCTTGCGAACCTGCACCCGACCAAGCAACCCACCGATAGTCACATTTTGCGGTCAGTGGCAACAGGATCACACGCGCCGTAGCAACACCGTGAGCAGCACAGGGAGGGAACAAGCGGCCAGCAATCAGAGACTACTACTATTCTCCTCCATTTTGCAGGGTGTTTCTGAGACTTCTAAAAAACACCCTGCAAAAACGCATGCGCCGTAGCAACGTCGTGAGAAGCACATGGAGGGAACAAGCGACCAGCAATCACAGACTACTATTATTCTCCTCCATTTGCCATAGTAGGCTTGTCCGAACGATCAAGCATATGCAAAGTAGGACGTCGTCGGCCGTACCAGGAGGTCCGGGGAGGAAGAACCAGGCCTTACCAGGAGGTCGGGGGTGAAATAACCCTTTTGAAGCGCCTGCGTCAGTTGGAGGAGCGTTCGAGGCCTGAATGCAGTAAAGAAGGAAATGAGATGAAAACGAGGAGAGGAATGAGGAGGAGGGAAGGTGGCAGATGGGATTCGACGGCTGGCGCTCAACCGAAGAAAATCGGATCAACCGCGTGAGACCGCGACGAGACCCTTTTGGAAACGCTCCTGTGCATTCAAGACGCATCCCAGCCGTCCGATGAGAGACACAAGCACCGATCGATAGACAGAAGCACCCGTTAGATCAAGACAGGTGCACCGTTGGATCAAGACAGGAGCACCGTTGGATCAAGACAGGATCACCGTTGGATCAAGACAGGAGCGCCGTTGGATCCTACGTACCCATGCTCGCCAGCCCAGTCCTGGTAGAACCACTGCGGCACGTTCTGCCCCGTCGATGGCCTCTGATCCCCGCCGCCGTCTGGACCCCCCATGCTCCCGATCCCCGTCTCTCCACCAGCACTCTGTTGGGAACGGGATTCACGCCCGATCCACCCCACCAATAACCAATAGGTTGGGAATGCGATTCTTGTCCGATTCACCACCACCACCACCACCAATCGGTCGGGAATGGGTCACGTCCGATTCACCGCACTAATCTGTTGCGATTCAGCTCGAAGCCTTATGTGTCGACTCAAACAGCAGTCTGTTGGGAAAGGGGTTCACGTGCGGTTCACCACCACCAGTCTCTTGCGATTCAACCAGAAGCGTTTCAGCGATGAGTGGGTCCTAGCACGAGACTGCTGAATCGTCCTAGCACGAGACGCGGACGAACCTAATTGCTGGCGCGAACGACGATTCTAGGAATGCCTGCGAGCACTCGACGCAGGGTGGTTCAGAAAATGGCGGGATTAGCAATGCGAGCCCCGCGGAGTTCCAGCGAGGGGAGAAGGTGCCCGGGGAATTGAAGGCAGGAAATGCATTGTGGAAGCAAACACACATAAAAGAGAATCTCTGTGGTCAGGGTGCCAGAGAGGTCTGGCTGGATTCTTCAGATTTCAGATCGGTTTAATTTGGTTGAGCTGGCTGAGGGAAAGTGGGTTGAGGAATCTGGAACCAAGCATGAGGAAGGCATGTGGTGGTGGTTCTGTAGATGTAATGGGGGGGAAAGCTCGGCGCGCCAGCAATCAGAATCATGGTTGTGGCGGCGATTGCAGCGCACGAGGATAGCGCGCCAGAGCACACAGGGGAGGATGCTTGTGGTTGGCAGTTCCACCGGGAGCTCCGCGCTCCCAGCGCACCCTGCTTGTGGCGGAGATAGCACCGAGAGCTCCGCGCGCGAGGTTGGATGGATGAACGATGTTGCTGCGGCCCTGCGGGGCGGCGATTGCCATGGCGAAGAAAGTGGCTGAGCCTGTTGCGGTGCGGACGCTTGCCCATTGCCATTGGCCCACCAATGATCAGTCGCATGATGCCCATGTGACCATCATGTGATACGACCATCCTGAAGCAGCTCATTACAAGATAATTGTACAGCGAAGTATCAAGAATCTTTCCAGATCAATATGGTAAAAGCAAGACATGCAGCATAAAACCAATTTATGACCTATCCAGTCTTCTAGAATGGACTCTCCGAGCCCAAACACTAAAAGCCCCAACTATCCAAAGGAACCCAGAGACACACGCCATCACCCAAAACGCAGGGAGCTTGGAAGCAAGCGCAGTCGACAACAGAGGGCCTAGCGCATACCCGAATACACCAGCACCATTGTACAGTGCTACCAGCACCGCCACATCCATGTGCTTATCTCCTCCCCTCCTTTCCCCAATCGAGCTGCTCCTTGCATACCCACTACTAAGCAGATTCTGCTCCTCATCGTCTTCACTTTCCAATGCAGACACCAGGGATGCAAAGCTTGGAAGCTCGGTAAGAGCATACCCCACACCATTCGCCGCCATAAGAAGGTAGAGTGGAACACGGGCCGCAGAACATGAGATCTCCTGAATCATAACTATGGGAAGGGTCCATGCGAGAATGGTCATCCCCACGGAATTTGTTGCTCCTGGCGACAGGCTCCGCACATAGAGAAGCACCGACGAAGCCAAGGCGACGAGAAACGAGAAAAACGCCGAAGGCGACGAGAGAGCCGCCCGGGCGTGGGCATGCAAGCGAGCCTGCACATGCAAATGCGCCGTGGCGTGCGCGTGCGCCGAGACGTAAGCTACAAACGAGTACGCCAACCCGTTGAACGCAAACGCGAGGCCGACTGAGGCCGGCCCGGCGTCGCAGGTGTCGGCGAGGAAGAAAGGGAGGGTGGCCTCTAGAGCTCCGAAGGAGAGGGTTTGGACGGCGGTGGTTAGGAGCACGGCTGTGGCGAGGCGGTTACGGAGGGCAAAGAGGAGCCCTCGAATGGTGCTGCTGCCCCTCTGCTGCTGCTGCTGCTGCTGCTCTTGGTGATCGTGCTGCTGGTGGGAGAGAGAGTCAGTCGTGCTTACACTGCTGCTGCTGCTGCTGGTTCTGCCAAAGGTGTTGCCAGCACCGGTGGCACTACCAGAGTATGCGCTGCTGTAGCTGCTGCTGATGTCGGCAGCTGAGCTGGCGGTGCCAGCTGTAGCAAGCCCTTGCGCAATGGATCTGGCAGTAGGGTGGGAGGCATTGCTGGTGGGAGCACCTACTGAGGTTACTGCAGCAGACAAGGAAGAGGGGATGGCAACAGGAGGGGGGATGGCAGGGGCGCTTTGACTCCTTGCTGCAGTGCTGGTGGTGCTGGTGGTGCTGGTGGTGCTGGTGGATGACGAGGGAATGACGGGAGCAGAGGCGGTGGAGTTATTGATTGAGCTTGTACTGCCGCCCCCCCCAATATTAAAAGCCCTCTCGATGATGTCAGCAGCAGGCTCTGCAGCACCCGCTGCTGCGCCTCTTGCAGTCATCCCCGCCCCTGCTGGCACTGTAACCTGGCCTTCTCCCCACCCTGCGTCAAACCCTCTTTCAGCTGCTGCCGACGACCCATGGCTCATGGCATGGTGGTCAAGGCCATGCTGCCGGTGGCCCATGGCATGGTGGTCAAGGGCATGCTGCCCATGGCCCATGGTGGAAACAGCCACCGGAGTGCTTTCCCCTGATAGAGGCACCTCCTGCCACTCCCCTCCGTCCGCCTCTGTGCTTGCAGCATCACCTGCAGCGGCAGCAGCAACTGGTACTCTTGCATCAGTAACAACTGCTGCAGTAACAGCAGTAACGCCAGTAGCAGTGGTAGCAGAACCAGCAGCAGAAGCTGCTGCAGCAACAGCACCAGCAGCCGCAGCTGTAGAAGTTGCAGCATCAACAGCAGTGCGAGGAGCAGCATCGGCCGCAGCTGCTGGGGCAACAGGGGCTGAAGGAGGCAGATGGGCCGTGCCAGGGGCGGGGTTAGGAGGGCGGATGAGGGGGACGAGGGTAGAGGGAAGGGGCGCCTGAGGATCAGAGGTGCCGGGCTGTGGAGTGGCTTGCTGATCCTGGGAAGGAGCAGGGGAAGGAGCAGGGGCTGATCGAGGGGCTGATCGAGGGGCTGATCGAGGGGCATGGGTGGGGCCAGCTGCAGCAGAAGCAAATGCAGCCGCTTCAGAACTTGTAGCAGGAGCAGCTGTAGCAGGAGCAGCTGTAGCAAGAGCAGCTGTAGCGTTAGCTGCTGCCGCAGCAGCAGGATCATATGCAGTGGCAGGCAGTGGAGCAGCAGCAGCTGCGGAGCTGGAGGCAAAGGTCATGGGTTCAAATCTCCGCGTCAATGAAAAGCCTCCACCATCATCATCCGCTTCCCCTGAGGGATCACCTGAGAGGTAACCTGAAGGGCCATCTGAACCTTCATCCTGGCGAGACGCAAACGACGAGAAGAACGAGTCAGGCAGGTCGGAAGGTTCCGGAGGCGGTTCTACCCCTAGCGCCTGGAAATTTACCGTCACCTGCCCGCTGCCTGCCTGGAAACTTGGATCGACAATGGAGTCCGGGTCTGGTTCTACTGTGGCCATGCGAAACGCAGCAGCAGTAGCAGATGCAGGATCGGACGCAGGGGTGGAGGAGGATGAGGAGGTATTTGCGAGAGAGTAAGAGGCTGGATTCTCCCCCTGCTCCTGCTGCTGCTTCTGCTGCTGCTTCTTGCGCCAGCGGAGCTGAAACTCGAGGTGGTCGAGAGAATGCGCTTCAGGGGAGAGCAGGAAGGAGAGGAATGCGAGCACCGCCGCAGCGACCGCCGCAAGTAGATAGGCGATCCACGGGGAAAGGTACTGGTACGCAAACGAGCCAAACAGCGGGCCGATCAGCGCGCCCAGCGACGCCCACCCCAGCAACGACCCGATCACCCCGATAAGCAGAGAGGACTCAGAGGACGAAGCAGAAGGGCCCGATGTGGGGGTGTTCACGCCGCTGCTGCCATCCATGCCATCGGCAAAGGCGGTGGGGAAGTGGGTACCCGTGAGGGAGTAGTCCGCTGCTGCGGATCGGAACACCTGGTCGCTGCTCCGAACCACGAACAGACCCTCGGATGCCGAACCTCCGCCTCCGCCTCCGGCCGAACCTGGAGCACCGACCCCTCCAACTTGCGCTCTTCGCTCCCCTCTCCCTCCTGCTCGTCTTCCTCCTCCTCTTCCCCTCCCCCTTGCTCTCAACGCCCCCCCTCTTGCTCTCATTTCGGGCCCCATTCCTCCTGAAAACTCCCTCCAACCCTGACCCTCTATTTCCGGCTGCTGCTGCTGCTGCTCCTCCTCCTCCTCCTCTTCCTCCTGCTGCTGCTGCTGGGAAGGGGTGAGTCGCTCGTAAGGGGTGTTGCTTATGCCGCTGAGGTTGCTCGTCCCTCTCCTCCCATCCCCCACTAAACCATAACTTAAGGACGTTCTGCCCCGGGCAGTCCACAACCTGCCCGAGCCCAAAAGTTTGTGCAGCCCCTCGCTGCCCCTCTGCGCCAGCTGGTCCACCACCTCGTCCAACGACGCGCCGGACCCGCAAACCCGGGCAGCAAAAAAAAGCCCGAGGCTGTGCACGGATTGGGTGACAATCCCCTGAAGCACCAGGGCAGCGGCGAGCGACCCCGCCCCAGCGATGGGAAACGCGAGGGAGAGAGAGGCGAGGGTGGAGAGAGAGAAGGTGGCGGCGAAGATGGTGGGGACAGAGAGGAGGAGGAGGAGCACGCCGATGGGGAGCGAGGCGACGAGGGAGGTGAGGTTGCGCGCGGCGAGCAGGAGCGTGACGGCGCGCTGCGAGAGGGTGAAGCGACGCGCGTAGCCGGGGAGAATGGGGGCCACGGAGCTCATGGTGGCAGAATCCAGGAAGGTTCCGGCTGGAGTGGGGCGCGGGTGAGGGATGGGAGGAACGGGAGAGAGGAAAAAAAGGTGGCGTTTTTTTCTCGTTTTTTCTCCTTTTTTTCAAATCACGCGTTTTTTCAGCCAAGTCAAGAGTAGCGGGGAGGGGGGAGGAGGGGAGGGGGGATGGTCGCGACCGAGCTCGTCGTGGCAACGTCCAGGAAGGTTCTTGCTGTGGTGGGGAGGGGATAAGAGGAAAGAGGGAGAAAGGGAAGAGAAGAACGAAGGGCACGACGAGCTGAAGTGCTGTAGCTAGACGCAGGGAAGCCTGTAACGGGAATAGGGCAGCAACTAGTGACATGCAGGGATGTCTTGTATAGGGATGCGAAAGGCAGCAAATGCAGCAAATGCGGCAAATGTGGCGATTGCGGCGAATGCACCAAGTGCAGCGAATGCGGCAAATGCGGGGATTCTAAGCACCCGATATAAAGCGCAGGAATCGCTTCTCCATGGAGTTAGGCCCGCCGCGAGCTTGCAACAGCGCGGCGCGTTGGAGGCGACGCGCCTCAGCCGCGTCGGCATCGCGCGGCGACGTGAAGCCCGATCCGACTGCCCCCGCACTAGTGCGACCCGAGGACGACCGCATCGCGTGAATCACTGGGCAGCGGATAATTAGTGGGTGGTCGCCGACGGCCCCGGAGTCAGACTATGGCGGGGCGTGCCTAAGGTAGTAGAATGCGCCTGTCCATAAACTGGCGTATGGAAAAGTTCGTCCCGAGGAGCGAAACGACAGGGAAACGTGGCGGATGTGATGAACTCGGAAACTGCTTTTGAGTCGACTCAAACGCACGTGGCGGATGTCATGAACTCGGAAACGGAAACCGCATCGAGGAACACAAGACGCAGCACATTGTTGTGACGTTCGATGGTACGCCGGGCGCCTCACAACGGTAGCAGCCTGGCCTATTACTTATTATCACTAGAGCAAGCACAGTCTTCGGGCCTGGCATCGCCTCGCCAGGACCTAGAAGGGCTTCTAGTGATTCTGTATCAGTGATATCATATCACCAACTTTGTGCATCGTGATGCCGACTTGATCCAAACAGATGTCCACCTACCCATCCACCACCATCTTACTCCTTCACGCGATTTTGACAGCCGCGATACCAGCTCAATATTGAAACACTGAAGCATTATCTTGAGCATTCAATATGTTATACTGATACAGAATGCTCGATGTGTTCACGAAAGCGGACGTCGGGTAACCCGACCGGACTTCGAAGTTTGAACATTCAAAACTTCGACCCCGTTGTCAAATTCGGGCTCCCCGACAAGCTGCCCGAACCTCAAATTTCCTGCCTCTCGTCCAGACCCTCCCTCTGCCCGAAACCAGCATCCGCCGTTCGATCGACAGCAAAATGTACCATTCACTTCGTTGAACCTTGGGAACTCCGCTTCTGATTCTTCTTCCAATCCAACAGCTGAAACAGCCATTTCTCAGTCGAGTCAAGACTCAAGACCCCCAAAGCTTCCCTTACTCCATTGTCGTCCTCGTGACGCCTTCGCTGTAATTCCCAGCCTCCCCGTTGCCTGGTCAACTAGACACTCAGACCCGTAGTAGTATTCTTGGGAGCTGCTATGAGCGTGTCAACTCTAAGTCTTTCCCCTGAGAGCTGATAGTGTTGCCTTCCGAGCACAAGCGTCAGGCAAGCTAATTACTCCGGCGGTACCGATAGTACCGCCATGGCTCAGCGGTCCCTGTGGAGATTCTATTCCAAGAAAGAAAACGCGTCTGTTCCGCAGTCGTCTCAGCCGCTCCTATCAAACCAGAATCCGCCGGCGAGCAGCCAAGGACCGTGGGGATCTACTAAAGACCCCGCTAAAGCGGTCTCCGATAGCAGTCCGTTCAAGACTCCACGGAACCCGTACGCTTTCAGCGGCACGAATGAGGGGACGGAACCGAAAGGACGCGTGATCGCTGATCAGCCTTCCCTGAATAAGCCTCCCCCGAGTCAACGGTCAACGGGGTACTCTGATCCGCGCAGGACGGAGCCAGGCGACGCGGAAAACGGTTTTGGTACTCCGTCGGCAAGAGCTGGGATTGGTCGAGATGGTCGAGAGGGTCGAGCTAGCTTCAGCCCACGGCCTCACTTCACTCCGCTGACTCCTGGGATCAAGCCATGCGTCCCGAGAGCGAAGAGAGGAAGGGACGATGCAGATGTTGACGACAATGCGAATGACTACAGCGAGGGGGCTAACGGGCTACAGAGCAAGAAGTTTGCCTCCGCGACGCAGCCTGAGCGGTCTGCTGGCGGAGCATCTCAGCGCCCTTCGTTTATGTCACAATCTGATATGTCACAACCTGATGTGCCACAACAGCATGATGACCGGTCCAGGCGCGCCGAGTTTCTTCGGGCATTGGGAGCAGATGATCTGGAGGGCGGGCAGGATAAGAATGCGGGCATGTGGGCCGAAGCCCGGTCGAAATTCGAGTGGCTGCTGCCCGTAAATATTCGGGATGGGAAAGGGAGGAGGCCTGGGGAGCCGGGTTACGATTCGCGAAGTGTAACCGTCCCGCGTGCGATTTTCGACAAGCTGTCAGCGTCACAGAAGCAGTACTGGAGCACGAAATCGCGCTACATGGACACCATCCTCTTCTTCAAAGTGGTGAGTCTTTCCGAACTCCTCCATTCCTTCCACTTTTGAGTCGACCCAAAAGCATCTCGACAACGTGTCGGCGTCGCAGAAGCAGTACTGGAGCACGAAATGTCGCTACATGGACACGATTCTCTTCTTTAAAGTGGTACGTGTTGCGGAACACTCCTCTCCATGTCCCAGTTGACTTCTGAGTCGCCTGGAGCACGAAATGCCGCCACATGGACACAATTCTCTTCTTCAAAGTGGTGAGTCTGCTTAACTCTTCCCCTCCTTCTGCCTAAGTTTGCTTAGAAGCTTCTTCGACAAGCTGTTGGCGTTGCAGAAGCAGTACTGGAGCACGAAATGCCGCTACATGGACACGATTCTCTTCTTTAAAGTGGTGAGTCTTGCTGAACACACCCCTCCCGTGCTAAAGGCTTTACGCCCAGCACGTCCCAGCAAGTTCCAGCAAGTTCCAGCAAGTTCCAGCAAATTCCAGCACGTTTCAGCACGTTCCAGCACGTTTCAGCACGTTCCAGCACGTTCCAGCACGTTCCTTACTTCCAATAGGCCAGATCAAGGCCCAGGTCTGTCTCCGTGTCGGGCTCGGAGGTCGAATTTGGATCAATGTTGGAAATCTGATGCGTCCCTGCCACGTGTCATGACCCTACAGGGCAAGTTCTACGAGCTGTACGAGGTGGATGCTGAGGTGGGCCACAAGGAGCTCGACTGGAAGCTGACCGTCAGTGGAGTGGGCAAGTGTCGCCAGGTGGGCAGTCTTCAACTTCGGATTATGTCTCTAGGAGTAAGATGCATCTTGGGAGATTGAGTTTCAGGTGGGTATCACGAACGTGATGATCATCACCGCATGTCTCCACACACTCGTCAACAGAAAGGTTGTTGACAGGTTGCTGACTGTCTTTGTTTTGCATTTTATCTACTCACATTCTCACTTCAAGTGCTATCCTCCGCAAACCCTCCGAACCAATACTGACAGCACTCTCTTTCCCCCCCCTCCCAAGCAGGTGGGAGTAGTTTGGTTGTGAGAGACGTCTCAAAAGTAAACTTTCTTGCGCACAAATCCTCGGAACCAATGTGTTCACTCTCTTTCCTCTCCCCGCCATGCAGGTGGGAGTGCCCGAGAGTGGCATTGAGGACGCCGTTCAAAAGCTCGTGGCCCGGGGGTGAGCCCCACTGCCCCTAGCTCATGCTCTGCAATGTTCTTCCCACTTGCGCTCTGTTTCTCCAGCCATTTGAAACCACAACGCGCCATGTTCGCTGCCTTAACTCCTTCTATGTCCATCCCTTCATGTCCATCCCTTCATGTCCATCCCTTCATGTCCATCCCTTCATGTCCATCCCTGCATGTCCATCCCTGCATGTCCATCCCTTCATGTCCATCCCTTCATGTCCATCCCTGCATGTCCATCCCTGCATGTCCATCCCTGCATGTCCATCCCTGCATGTCCATCCCTGCATGTCCATCCCTGCATGTCCATCCCTGCATGTCCATCCCTGCATGTCCATCCCTGCATGTCCATCCCTGCATGTCCATCCCTGCATGTCCATCCCTGCATGTCCATCCCTGCATGTCCATCCCTGCATGTCCATCCCTGCATGTCCATCCCTGCATGTCCATCCCTGCATGTCCATCCCTGCATGTCCATCCCTGCATGTCCATCCCTGCATGTCCATCCCTGCATGTCCATCCCTGCATGTCCATCCCTGCATGTCCATCCCTGCATGTCCATCCCTGCATGTCCATCCCTGCATGTCCATCCCTGCATGTCCATCCCTGCATGTCCATCCCTGCATGTCCATCCCTGCATGTCCATCCCTGCATGTCCATCCCTGCATGTCCATCCCTGCATGTCCATCCCTGCATGTCCATCCCTGCATGTCCATCCCTGCATGTCCATCCCTGCATGTCCATCCCTGCATGTCCATCCCTGCATGTCCATCCCTGCATGTCCATCCCTGCATGTCCATCCCTGCATGTCCATCCCTGCATGTCCATCCCTGCATGTCCATCCCTGCATGTCCATCCCTGCATGTCCATCCCTGCATGTCCATCCCTGCATGTCCATCCCTGCATGTCCATCCCTGCATGTCCATCCCTGCATGTCCATCCCTGCATGTCCATCCCTGCATGTCCATCCCTGCATGTCCATCCCTGCATGTCCATCCCTGCATGTCCATCCCTGCATGTCCATCCCTGCATGTCCATCCCTGCATGTCCATCCCTGCATGTCCATCCCTGCATGTCCATCCCTGCATGTCCATCCCTTCATGTCCATCCCTGCATGTCCATCCCTGCATGTCCATCCCTTCATGTTCCATTCGCTGCGTGATTGGTGAAGTTGGTATGGAATGGAGTTACCCTGCATCTCCTTCCCTTCCCTCTTGTGCACATCTGTCCTCATCTGCCCGCTACAACGCCGGTCTCACTCCATCCCCCTTTCCTTCATCTCTTGGCCCTCTTCCTCTTCCTCTTCCTCTTCCTCTTCCTCTTCCTCTTCCTCTTCCTCTTCCTCTTCCTCTTCCTCTTCCTCTTCCTCTCCCTCTCCCTCTCCCTCTCCCTCTCCCTCTCCCTCTCCCTCTCCCTCTTCCTCGTCCCCTTCCTCCTCCGCCGCTGTCAGCTACAAGGTCGGTCGCATGGAGCAGCTGGAGACCAGCGAGGAAGCCAAGGCAAAGAGAGGGCCAGGGGCGGTATGTGACTATTCATTCACGGATGTGACTGTATGCAGGCAAGGTATGTCACTGTGCAGGTACGCACGCCATGTGCTCACTGGCTTGTGCTTGGAAGGGAGAGGCTGGATGCATGATGCGCTCATCAGCATGATGCTCTCATCAGCATGGGCGCTCGCCAGTAGGTGGCGTGGCATGTGATTCTAACGATGCAACCGCCCCTTCTGTATCGTGCGTCTACTTCCCTGGCAGATGGTGCAGCGCCAGCCCACTCAGATCCTCTTTCTGAGGCACCAGCCTTAGTTGCTACAAACGCTCTGGCAGACACGCGTTTAGCGTTCAAACGCTTGCGTTTGAACGCAAACGCCAAACGCACCCAAAAACGCAAACGCTCACTGGGATTTTTTCCGGTCTGCCCCCCCGAAAAAAAACACGAGATTGTCGTTGGAGAATAGCCTTAAGGATAGATGATTTATATGAGATGTGAGGATGCTGGCTTAAATGTTAAGCACAGTTATTTTTTATGAGACAAAATGCTTGCTGGTAGAACCCCTATGTTTCCCCCCTCCCCCACAGGAATCTTGAACCCCTGCCTGGGTAAAAATTTTACCCCTGCCCGGGCAAGCGTTTGCCTAGCGTTCACGTAAACACTGCCGAGCGTTTAGCGTTCAAACGCCAAACGCGTTTGTAGCAACTGAGGCACCGGCAGCTCACTCAGCTCACCCAGATTCTCTTTTGCATCGTGCGCCCACTTCCCTGGCAGATGGTGCAGCGCCAGCTCACTCAGATCCTCTCTCCAGCCACCCTCACAGAAGGGTCCCTTCGACCAGAAGCCGTGCACCTCCTGGCGATTAAGGAGGTAAGAGCTAACAGGGGTAGAGATTTGTAGAGGCCGTGCATCTCCTGGCCGTGCATCTCCTGGCGACTGAGGAGGTAAGAGTTAAGGCAGCGAAGCCACCATTGGTGAAAGATATCCGATGGTATGCAGTTTCAAACACGAACAGACAGTGCAGTGAGTTTGTCTAACAGGCTTCCCACTCTACATTGCATTTATCTGCATCTGCCTTTTCAGACCCTTGCAGAAGCAGACGGCGTCAACTCCAGCAGTCCCAACGGCAGCAGCAGCAGCATCACCCCCAGCAGCACCCCCAGCGGCAGTACCGAGTCCATTCTGGTTGGTTTCGCGTTCGCTGACGTGGCAGGCGGGAGCATCTACGTCGGCGCCATGCGGGATGACTCGTCCCGCTCCGCCCTCTCAGCGCTTCTCATCCAGGTGTGCATCGTGCAAAGCAGAAGCGTGTAACAACTTTGGATCTGCTTTGCCTTTTGGCCAAGGGACGTGCTTTTCTTTGGGGAGCTGAGAGCTGCCAAGGGACGAGACATGAGTCCATCTGATTGTATTCTCGCTCGGGACAAGCTCAAAGACAGACCTCTGAAACCTCTCGTGTTCGAACCCCCCCCTCTCATGTGTTGCGGAAGCCTCTCATGTGCAACTGAAACCTCTCGTGTCTGAAACCTCTCGTGTCTGAAACCTCTCGTGTCTGAAACCTCTCGTGTCTGAAACCTCTCGTGTCTGAAACCTCTCGTGTCTGAAACCTCTCGTGTCTGAAACCTCTCGTGCCTGAAACCTCTCGTGTCTGAAACCTCTCGTGTCTGAAACCTCGCGTGTCTGAAACCTCTCGTGTCTGAAACCTCTCGTGTCTGAAACCTCTCGTGTCTGAAACCTCTCGTGTCTGAAACCTCTCGTGTCTGAAACCTGACATGTCTGCAACTAAACCCTAATCCGTGATCCTTCTACTGCGCTCCATCTTTGCAGGGTTTTTTTTTTTAATTCTCAAAAATACCCTCTAAACCCTAATCCGTGATCCTTGTACTGCGCTCCATCTTTGCATTCTGCTCGTTCACTCGGGCGTCCATCTCTTCTGGGGCGTGCAGTCGTTCCGTGCTTCCCACCCATCCAAACCATCATCCCGCCTCCCCCTTCCTGCCTCCCTCCCTCTCTTCCTCGCGTCAGGTGGCCCCTCAAGAGCTGCTTTTTGAGCTGGATGGTGAGCCCCCACTCGCTCTGTGCTCTCTGCTTTGTGCTCTGTGCTCTATTCTCTGTGCTCTGCGCTCTTCGCTCTTTTCTCTGTGCTCGGTGCCCTGTGCTCTATTCTCTGCGCTCTGAGCTCTTTGAGCTGCTCGTTACCTTATCGCCCTTCTACACATGTCTAACTGGGTTCTGCTTCTGGAAATTCTTGCTCCAGGGCTCTCCTCTGACACGAGGAAGCTTCTGCGAAGGAGCTCAGGCCCAGGAATCCTTCCGATGCAGCTGACAGCCCTGGCGCCAGGTTCGGAGTTCCCCGAGCCTAAAGCAGCTCTGGCCCGGCTAAAGACTTCTAGCTTTGGAACCACACAGGAAGCCTCGCAGAGGTGGCAGCAGCAGCAGGGGCAGGTGTTTTCTGGGTCAGGGGGATGCGGAGGAGAGGGGAGAGGAACTGGTTCTCTGGTGCAGTTGCTGGTGGGAGGAGGAGAGGAGGAGGCGGAGGTAGCAGCTGCTGCACTCGTGGCACTTGGTAGTCATTTGGAGAGACTCAAGGTGGGCGCTTGATTCCTTCTTTTCTTCCTCCCTGTTTCCTCTTCCCTCCCTGTTTTCGCTTCTCCCCCCCCCTCCCTCCCTCCCCCTCCCCCACCCCCTCCCCCCTCCGTTGTCCCCTTCCTTGCCTCTCCCTGTCGCTCCCTCCTCATTTTTTGGCTTTCTTTAGTCCTTCACTCTCTCTTCCCCCCTATAACTCCCCCTCCCCTTCCCCCACTTCTCCCCACCCCTCCCTCCTTTCCCCCTTCCCCTTCCCCTTACCACCAACCCAGCTGTGTCTACTGTGAAGCGTTGCAGTGCTCGCTTGTCAACTTTTGAGGCGACTCAAATCCTTCCTCCCCCTCCCTCTTTTCCCCCCAACCAAACTGTGTGTACGGGTGGTTTCCGCCCTCTTGTCAAATCACACCCCCGCGCCCCCCTCTTTCCCCCTCTTTCCCCCTCTTTCCCCCTCTTTCCCCCTCTTTCCCCCTCTTTCCCCCTCTTTCCCCCTCTTTCCCCCTCTTTCCCCCTCTTTCCCCCCCTCTTTCCCCCTCTTTCCCCCTCTTTCCCCCTCTTTCCCCCTCTTTCCCCCTCTTTCCCCCTCTTTCCCCCTCTTTCCCCCTCTTTCCCCCTCTTTCCCCCTCTTTCCCCCTCTTCCCCCCTCTTTCCCCCTCTTTCCCCCTCTTTCCCCCTCTTTCCCCCTCTTTCCCCCTCTTTCCCCCTCTTTCCCCCTCTTTCCCCCTCTTTCCCCCTCTTTCCCCCTCTTTCCCCCTCTTTCCCCCTCTTTCCCCCTCTTTCCCCCTCTTTCCCCCTCTTTCCCCCTCTTTCCCCCTCTTTCCCCCTCTTTCCCCCTCTTTCCCCCTCTTTCCCCCTCTTTCCCCCTCTTTCCCCCTCTTTCCCCCTCTTTCCCCCTCTTTCCCCCTCTTTCCCCCTCTTTCCCCCTCTTTCCCCCTCTTTCCCCCTCTTTCCCCCTCTTTCCCCCTCTTTCCCCCCTCTTTCCCCCTCTTTCCCCCTCTTTCCCCCTCTTTCCCCCTCTTTCCCCCTCTTTCCCCCTCTTTCCCCCTCTTTCCCCCTCTTTCCCCCTCTTTCCCCCTCTTTCCCCCTCTTTCCCCCTCTTTCCCCCTCTTTCCCCCTCTTCCCCCCCCCCGCCCCCCTCTTTCCTCCCTTCAGTGGAGCCCGGCAGTGCTCGCATCGCTCTCCCTCCGGCCGTACTCGGTCTTCTCCTTCCTGTCGCTGCGGCTGGACGGGCAGACGCTGAGCAACCTGGAGCTGCTGAGCAACACACACAACGGCAGCACACAGGGTGAGCTCTTGATAACACAACGTCACTTCTCCTTCCTGTCTCTGCGCCTGGATGGGCAGACACCCAACCTGCATAATGGCAGCACACAAGATAAGCAGGGTTTAGAGTTGCTGAGCAACACACATTATGGCAGCACGCTTAATGGCAGCATGCAAGGTGAGCTCTCACTGCTTTGGTCAGTTCTCTCTCTGCGCCTGGACAGGCAAACACTACCAGAGCTGCTTAGCAACACGCACAATGGCAGCATGCAAGGTAAGGCAATCGTCCGTGTGCGAGGCAGCTGCTTGGTTTTTCGAGGATATCAAGTCGCAACGCAAGAGCATGCTGAGAACGCTAGCCTTGTGCTGTTTGAATCTGCCGACACTGTTCTCGAATCTTCCCCTATTCCCCCCTCTTCCTGTCCTTGATTTCTATTCTTGAATCCGAATCTCCTAGTCCCTCTTTCTTTCCCTTCTCAACCCGCAATTCTCCTCTGACCCCCTGCACTACACTTCTCACCCTTTCTCTTTCCTTCATCCTGTTGGCCCTTCATGGCTCTTTCTCTTCTCATCACGACTGCTGTAGCACAAATGCACACTGTCATGGCTTAAACTCCCCCCCCCCCCCCCTCTTCCCCCTCTCTTGTACAGGCACCCTTCTTGGCTTCTTAGACACATGTGCCACGTCAGGGGGCAAGCGCCTTCTCCGCCGTTGGATTTGCCACCCGCTGCGCTCCATCCGCGAGATCGAGCGCCGGCTGGACGCCGTCGATGAGCTGGCGGGCTCGTCGCTCGCCACGTCAGCACTGTCATCTGCCACGTCTGCAGCACACGCAAGGGGGGAGATCCGAGCGGCAATGAGGCGGCTGCCGGATTTGGAGCGTCTCATTGGACGAATGCGAGCTATGGGGGCTCAGGCCAATGGAAGGGGAGGAGGGGGAGTAGGGGGAGAAGAAGAGGATTGGGGGAAAGGAGGCAGAGGAGGGGGGGATGGGAGAGGAGGAGGTGGAGGTGGAGGAGGAGAGGTGGAGTGGAGTGGGTTAAGGGCTGCTCTGGAGGCGCTGCCGGGGCCAATGGGAGAGAAGCTTCTGAGGAAGCAGGTGAGAGGCGGGACTCAAGGCGAGTACATGGGCGCAACACAAGGCATGTACTCGGGTTGAGTCCGATGTATTGCGTTGAGTCCCAACGCACAACAACTCATGTACTCGGGTTGGGTGTGCCTGAAGGCAGTCCTCCTGGTTCTTCTCAATGGCCCGTTTGTCCGTCTGTCCACAACGCTGTGACTTTTGAGTCAACTCAAAAGTCACCTCGTTACAATGTCACACAACACGAAGGCAGTCCTGGTTCTTCTCAATGGCCCGTTTGTCCTCTTGTCCACAACGCTTTCCCTGGCAGAGGCATGCATGGGTTCACGATGCCACAACGTCACGCAATGCCAATGGGTGGGTTTCTTCCTCCGCCCACACATCCCCCCGATCTCCCATCTCGCAGGTATCTCTGTTGTGCCCAGCAGTGCGAGTAGTTTAGTTTCGAGACGTCTCAAAACTAAACTAATTAACAATGGGTGGCTTTCTTCCTCCACCCACACATCCCGATCTCCCATCTCGCAGGTATCTCTGTTCTGCCCAGCAGTGCGAGTAGTTTAGTTTCGAGGCGTCTCAAAACTAAAATAATTAACAATGGGTGGCTTTCTTCCTCCACCCACACATCGCGATCTCCCATGTCGCAGGTATCTCAATTCTGCTCAGCAGTGCGAGGGGTGAAAGCAGCCCTCCGGAGGGGTGAAAGCGGCCCTCCGGCCGGATCCTCGACTCCCTCCATAACTGATCGCTCACAGGAGAGCCCGTCTCACCTCACAGGAGAGCCCGTCTCACAGGAGAGCCCGTCTCACAGGAGAGCCCGTCTCACAGGAGAGCCCGTCTCACAGGAGAGCCCGTCTCACAGGAGAGCCCGTCTCACAGGAGAGCCCGTGTCCCCCCACTCTGCCAATGAGGATCCATCCACTCCACCTGCCCGCCCCCATTCGTAGGTCTCCCACTAGTGCATTACAGCGCGTGGGGTGAAGGCAGCTCTCCTGTCCCTAAACACCCTGCGCAGCAGATCCCTCACAGCAAAGCCCATCTCTTTCCGTTCCTCTCATGATGACCCATCCACCCACCCGCCCCCATGCGCATGTTTCCCACTTCTGCACTACAGTGTGTGGGTTCAACGCAGCTCTCTCCTTCCTCAACTCCCAGCGCTCCAACTCTCAGCCCCACCTGTCGGTGCCACCTCACCACTTCACCACTTTACCACCCGCCCCCATTCGCAGGTCTTCCACTTGTGCGCTGCTGTCCGAGGGGTCAAGGCAGCTCTCCGGTTTTTGGACTCCTTCAAGAACGGATCCCTCACAGGCGAGCCCGTCTCCTTCCGCTCGGCCATCCTACGTGGCTTCATGCGATTGGCTCCTGCTGCTTCTGCCAACAGGGACTGGGACTCTCCTGACTTTGCTCTTAGCGAGGGTGACAGCAGGGGGGCCAGTCCGGAAGAGGAGTTAGAGGAATGTGAAGGTCGGGGAGGAGGGGGGTTTGGCATTGGCGCCGAGCAACTGAGTGGTAGACGTGTGCTGTCAGTGCTTGATGAGATGGAGCAGTGTATCTTGTGGCCGGCGGAGACCCAGGGGAAGCCAGCAGGGAGGGGGAAAGGCAGCGGCGGCGGGTCAAGAGGTGGTGCGGCTACCAGCGGCTCTCCTCGTCTTGTGTCCGATGACAGTAGTATAACCTCGTTGAGGAGCGGAAAGGGTGCTTCGACAGAGTATGCCAGGAACAACAGCAGCAGCAGTAGCAGCAGTAGCAGTGGCCTGGGTGAAGCCGTAACAGCAGAGGCGCGTCTGCTGGCTGCACTCCTGGCGCAGTTCTCCTCTCTCCTCCCCTTCTGCTCGCTCCTCTCTGACTCCCTCGCCCAACTCGACGTCCTCCTGGCCTTTGCCGATGCCTCGCAGGGTGCTGCTGGTGCAGGGCCCATGTGCCGGCCCACGTTCGTGGCAGCAGCGGGGGCAGGAGGGGGGGGAGGAGGAGGAGGAGGGAGTGGGTGTGATGGGGCGAGGAGTGCATCAGGAGGGGGGGGAGCACGTTTCATGCGAGGGGTCTGTGGCACCCGTTTGCAGTGGGCGGTGGGGGTGTGGTGGTTCCCAACGATGTGCTCCTGGGGGGAATGGCTGCTAGAGCCGTGGGAGGTGGATGTGCTGGTGCTGGAGCTTCTGGTGCTTCCGCTGCTGCTGGTGCTGCTGGTGCTGCTGGTGCTGACGGTGGTGGGTCGTCCTCAGTGTCGGTGTTTCCGCGCACGGTGTTGCTGACAGGGCCCAACATGGGGGGCAAGTCCACTCTGCTCAGAGCGACCTGCGTCGCTGCCATCATGGCCCAGGTGAGCAAGTGAACGTGCACGAGTATGCTTCACCAGCATTAGCATCTGCATCACCAACAGAAGCAGCAGCAAAAGCAGCGAGAGGTTTTGCTGGATTAGAAAAAAAACTCCCTGCATCTACAGGTGGCAAGGCCACTCTACTACGAGCTACCTGTGTTGCTGCCATCATGGCTCAGATACTTTAGCAGCTACCTCTCTTGAGTGTTGTCATCCATCTAGGGAAGCAGAGGTTAAGGGGAACCCCCCTGTCTCAAACACTCACCTTCCCCACCCTAACACACACACACACACACACACCCCTTTTCCCGCATTCCTCATCCCTCCACTCTTCCCCTCTTCCCCTCTCCACCCCATCTCACATCTCTCCACTCTTTCTCCCCCCTCCCCCCCCCCCCCCCCTTCTCCTTTCACCAGATGGGGTGCTTTGTGCCCTGCTCCTCCCTTGTTCTCTCCCCTGCTGACGTCATCTTCACAAGGCTTGGCGCATCGGACCGAATCATATCGGGAGAGAGTGAGTGATGGGGAAAAGGAGAGTGATGGGAAGAGAGTGAGTCATGGGGAGAGAGTGAGTCATGGGAGAGAGTGAGTCATGGGAGAGAGTGAGTCATGGGAGAGAGTGAGTCATGGGAGAGAGTGAGTCATGGGAGAGAGTGAGTCATGGGAGAGAGTGAGTCATGGGAGAGAGTGAGTCATGGGAGAGAGTGTGTCATGGGAGAGAGTGAGTCATGGGAGAGAGTGAGTCATGGGAGAGGTGCCACATTGCATAATGGCTGAGAGTGGGATGGGAGGGACAGGGAAGAGGGAGTGATAAGAAACTCTTTAAAGCTAGAAGTTCTGTGTTTTTGGCTTCTCGTGTCCCATTCCCACCAGGCATGTTCATGTTTGAGTACCGGGAGATAGTAGCGCTCATGCGGTGCGCCACAAGGGACTCTCTGGTCATTCTGGACGAGCTTTGGAGGGGAGGACCACCTTTTTCGGCCCTTTACTAGGGTGTTGTCCACTCCCATTTATGCCCCCTCCCCCCCCCGCCCCCCGCCAGGCACGTTCATGGTGGAGTGCCGGGAGACAGCAGCGGTCATGCGATGCGCCACAAGGGACTCTCTGGTCATTCTGGACGAGCTGGGAAGGGGAACGTCCACGTTCGACGGATACGCTATTGCGCATGCGGTATGGGTTGTGCTTTTCGTGCGGCATGTATTCTTTATGAGAAAACAGGTTTGTTGTGGCCTACTGTGTGCCATTTGTGCTGGCTTATGGCAGCCTCTCTGCAGCACACACACAATCAACGGTGCTGCAGGGTTTGCAGCAACCCACAAAGCATACGTCTTTTCTTCCTTCCTATCTTTCACCCGTTCTTTTATTTTTCCTTGACCAGGTGTTGGACTACCTCACCTCATGTCCTGTCCATTGACTGCCGGCTCCTCTTCGCCATGCACTACCATCCTCTCACGTTCCAGGCTACTGAGATGGCTTTGAGGCGCCTCAAAACTACACTCTCACGTTCCAGGTTACTGAGATGACTTGAAAGTCTACTCACAAGCCCCCCTCTTTTTACCCCTTCGTCTATTTTTCCTCCACCAGGTGTTGGACTATCTCACCTCACGGCTTGACTGCCGGCTCCTGTTCGCCACACACTACCATCCACTCACCTCCGAGTTTGCGGGTCATCCGCAAGTCGCGTTACGACACATGGCATGCCAAGTGCAGGCACGCAAGAGCGGAGAGGGGGAGGAGGACGAGGAGCTTGTTTTCTTGTACAAGTTGCACTCTGGTGCCTGTCCGAAGAGCTACGGCTTGAAGGTAGCTTCTATGGCCGGAATCCCTTCTCGTGTCGTGATGAAAGCAACCCAGGCAGCTTCAGCTCTTGAGCATGAGCTGAGCGATAAGTTTGACAACCCTGAGCCTCTTGCAGCGAGCAAATTGCTTGATTTGGAGCGGTCATGGGTGCAAACGCTGCAAGGGGTTGCTGCATGTGGTGCCTCGGGTGCGAAGGTGCCTGATGAAGATGCAGAGGATACGTTCGAGACCCTGTATTGTATCTGGCACGAGGTCCGGCATAGTCAGTGAGCAGTGGTGCAAATGCGGCTGTCAAACTCGGCAAATTAGTGATGAAGTAGATTAGAATTATTTGAGAAATAGCATTTCATGCAAAATGTGGGTCAGCTGAATCTGGTCGAAGAGGTTTGCGCCTTCAATGGCGGGGACACGGACCTGTTTTCCAGGTTCTCTATTTGGCAGAGAGCCTCCGTTTTGGTTCGGAAGGACCAGCTTTGGGCTGTCAGTTATTCAGCCTGCGTCACAGTGTGGTTCAGTGTGCCGTGTTGGAAATATCTCAAGGACTTGAGCGTTTCTGAAGTGTAACATCACACTCGAGGAAGATCGTAACGAGTACGCGAGTCAACGGAGGTTACACGAGGGGATGGATAAAGAACACGAAAGGACTCGAAGGGTCGCAACCGGAGGTTGCGACTGACCGTTACAACTGCAAGAATGGTAACCGAAGCGACAATCGAGTCGCTGTGCGACTCGACAAACCGCCATTCAACTGTATTCTACAACTGCTTGTTTTCTAGTTTCTATATATTGCTGTATGCTTGTTCACTTTAATCAATCACTTGTTCTCATATACTAGTACAAGGGTTCAACTACTCAACTTCCGCTGCACTACTCAGGTCTCATTCTTCAACTGGGACTTAGTCTCTGGAAAGATCCTAAGGGCTTTTCTCAGCCCAACATGGTATGAGAGCTGGTCAGAGACCAAACTCCCAGCAACAGCTCAACCTACAATCTGCAATTCAAACGACTTCATTGATTACAAGTCATGGACAGCAAGGGCAAGAAAATCTCTAAGGGCTCACCCAGCGCCCAAGACACTCAACCCGGCAACTCTGGATTACACACTTCAGGACTGCAAACCGAGACCGGCGCTGCTCAAGAAACAACAGGAAGAGCACTGGAAATGGTGACTCCATCACCCTCTTGAAGCGTGGATCCGAACCTTATGGAAAGGTTCTTCAGCTTCATGTCGCACTTCGACCAGCAGCAGCAGACAAGGACACCTGCGCATTCAACACAGAGCAACGGAGGAAACATGGGATTAGCGCCGATGAGCCTCGACAATTCATCGTTCGGGCGACACAATCAAGCGCCTACCTTTGCGCCTTATCACTCTTCACCGGGGACATTCAAGTTCATGCCGCCCCGTGCCCAACCAACAGCAGCTGCATCACAACAGACACCAAACGAGATTTTGAGTCTCCAGGCGCAGTTTTCACACGTAATCAAGTTACAGACATCCTCACCGTTCAACGGACACGACTTCTTTACCTGGAGCTTTGAGTTCGAACTGCTGATGGAGGTTGCGCATCTCTTGGGATACTTCAACGGGTCCCTGCCATTCCCAAGCAACGGCACTGGAAAGGAGCAAGAAATTTTCACGTAGCAGTCGCTGCTGGCGTATACAGTTCTCCTGCGGAACCTGTCACCACAAGAACAGCAGAGCATCAGAACGTATCGGAGCTATGGAAACTCCGCGGAACTCGCATGGCATCATCTCAAGTGTCTCTATCAAGCAAACGACAGCGTGACACAAAGCAGACTCATGCAACAGCTGACAACAATACAGATGAAGACCGGGGAAAAGGCGATGCAGTATATGAGTCGATGCCAAACACTCCGCGACCGCCTGCTTCGGTGCGGAGGAACAATCACTGAAGAAAGCTTCGTGACGCTTGTCCTCGCCGGGCTCGGGCCAGAATGGAGAACCACACGCTCGCTTCTTCGCACCCACGGAAGGATCTCGGAGATGCACCTCTGCGCCGAGCTTCATGCTGAACAACAGGAGATGGACCTGTTCGAAGAAAGACAACCAAGAAAGCAGCAGCAGTTAGTTTTCTACACTCAACGAAGGAACGACAACAACTACAATCGACGCGGCAAGCAAGATCAACGCGACAACAGAGGACTCACCATCGTGCCGCCGTTCTGCCACAACTGTCAAACATCCGGACATTCCAAAGTCAACTGCATACGTCCTCGTGTCTATCGTCCAGTAGACCCACAAGTCGCTTCCACTCAAGAAAGCCCTCCAAAACGTTCTACCACATCTGCACAAGGGACACCGAACATCATCAACTGCCTGGTACACATCGACAACTGCGCACCCGGATCACCACCCACTTACGTGCCAGACGAAGAAGAATTCCCGCCGCTGCGCTCACAAGGACTTCAGGTCAACCCGACATACGCTGCGGTCGCCAACGCCGAACCCACCGGGCGAAACACCTGGTTCTTGGACAGCTGCTGCGGTCAACACATGTGTTCTTCCGGACGCTTCGTGCAACGAGAGCGACGCCTCAACCGCGACGTCATCATCACCGTCGCCAACAACGAGAACCTGAAAACAAACAGACAAGGGGTGGTTCAGTTACAGTCCATGGAAACTAATGTCATCCTTCAACTCAACAAGGTCTTAATCGTTGACAACTTGGGATACAATCTGCTAAGCGTCAGCCAGCTAATGGCAAAAGGGATTCACCTGGAGTGCGACTCGGACTCCAACGAGTTTCGCCTTTACCACGGGAAGGGCGGCCTCTTCATCGGTCGTGCTCTCTTGAAGTCAGGCGTCTTCGTGTTGGACTTCGTCCCCGACCGCGGTACTGCCGACAGCGATGGGATTGTGTCGTTCGCCGCCTGGACACACCCGCCGGATCTTGATCCCGACTTCAACCCCGATGGATTCTGGTACTCCAACACCATACCTGCAGTAGAGAGAACACGAGCATTAGCAGTCATCAGACAAGAAAGACAAGTACCAGCAAGTGTCCCTTCCCAACCATCACCTGCAGTAGCAGCAGCAGGACCCAGCCGAGTACCACCACCAGTGATCCGAGGACCGCCAACCGAAGCAGATCAACTTATGCCAGTCACACGAGAAGTCTGCCGAAGTCCCGCCACGGTCGTCGCGTTCTTCTCCAACACCGACATGTACCAACGCTCGCCCGGCCATCGAGCTTCCGATGACATCTGGCACCAACGCCTTGGGCATCCTGCAAACAGCACCGTACTACAAACAATCCAAGCCGAAGTATTAGAACGAAACGCTCTTCTTACAACAAGTGGCCAAGAACTTCGAAGACCACGCGCACGGTGCTTTACGTGCCCCGAAGCCGATCTTCCCCACCAGCCTTTTCCATCCCATCACAACCCAAGCGCACCTGCATACGCACCGATGGAAAAAGTCTCCAGTGACATTTTAAACATGCCTCGAGAAGACACTGAAGCCGACTTCAACTATGTCATCACGTTTATCGACGCAGCAACAAGATACGTCTGGCACTACAACCTCAAGACGCGTGATCAAGCCTTCGACGCCTTCACGACATGGCTCCCCATCGCCGAACGAGAATCAGGAACCAAGCTCAAGAGCTTCCAGTCAGACGGTGCACTGGAATACCAGTCACAACGCTTCAGGACCTATCTGGCGGAAAGAGGAATCAGACGCCTGGTGTCTCTGCCCTACGCTCACCAGCAGCAGGGGGTCGCCGAACGCATGAACCGGACCTTGCAGACGACGATGCGAGAGCTGCTCCTGGGGATGAGACTGCCCACCACACTGTGGCCAGACGCGATGACACATGCAGTCCACCTGCACAATCTGTTGTCCTCGTCATCGCTTCCCAACAACGCATCACCGCACCTGCTGTGGAGACGAAAAAGGGGCAGCACAAAATTACTTCGAGTTTTCGGCTGCATGGTACAGTACAGACCCCACACAGCCCGAGCAAGACAATCCTCTCGATAGCAACAACCTCGACACCTTTTACCACTTCGCTGACCAAGGTTACGTTACACCCCACCTGGTCTACACGAATGTTTCAGAACGCATCGGCCCAAACTTCTTACCTGATCCAGAAGATGGTGACGAAGCAGCTTATTCCGGGAATGAAAATTCCCCTCGACACACACCCACGGGACTGCAGATCCTCGGCCTATGGGTCTCCGTCCAGCATCCGCCGCCGCCATCTCCGCGCGAGCCCTCGACTCTGTGGCAGGCTCTGGGGGGGGAACATAAGGGGAAATGGAAGGAGGCGATGGAAAAGGAACTAAAAGCTCTGCAAGACCGAAACACATGGAAGTTGGTACCTGCAACGAACATCAACGGGAATAACGTCCTCTCGGGAAAGTGGGTGTACCGCATCAAGACCAACGCGGACGGCTCCATCGAACGATTCAAAGCTCGATGGGTCGTACGAGGCTTCGATCAGCAATACGGAACCGACTACACAGAAACTTTTGTCCCAGTCTCCCGTCACACCTCCTTGCGCATCCTACTCGCCATCGCGGCCACGAAGAAACTACCACTGCGCCAAATCGACGTCGCAAATGCTTTCCTGTACGCACCTGTGGACGCCGAGATCTTCGTCGAGCAGCCCCACGGATTCATCGACGACCCTACAAAAGTGTGCCAGCTGATAAAATCCCTTTACGGGATCAAGCAAGCCCCGTGGCTTTGGCAGCAGCACCTTCACGGTCGCCTCGTCAGAATCGGATTCCTACAACTGCCACACGACCAAGGCATGTACCGACTACAGAAGGAAAGGGAATTCATTCTACTCATCGTCTACGTCGACGACCTGCTCTACATCGGCTCCACCACCGACATCGCCACCTGGTTCGAAGGGGAGCTGAAAGGGGACTTGACACTCACAGTGTCCGACACAGTGACCCAGTACCTGGGTCTAAACGTCGTCGAAGACAACTCAGCGTTCTACCTATACGGTGGAAAGTACGCAGGCGTTGTCGCAAAGAAGTTCGGACTAACACCAACTACAGTCGCGACTCCCTACCGCTACGGAAACAACAACGACACCTCCGCAAAACTCCCCGCGAAGCAAATCCAGGTTTATCAGCAGAAGCTCGGCTGCCTACTGTTCGCAGCAGTAACCTGCCGACCTGACCTATCCTACAGCGCAAGCCAGCTGGCGACGCATCTGAAGCAACCGGAACAAGAAGATCTCGAAGAACTGAACCGCGCACTACTCTACTTCGTCTCTACGCCAACGACTGGACTCACCTACAGCAAAGTAACAACACCATCCGTACAACTACTCGGATACGTCGACGCCGACCACGCGGGAGACAGGGAAAATCGACGATCGAGAACGGGCTACATCTACCGACTAGAACCTCTCGGGACTATCTCCTGGCAGTCGAGCAAGCAGGAACTAATCGCACTATCTTCGGCTGAAGCAGAATATATCGCCCTCTGTACTGCGACCAAGGAAGGACTCTACCTACGAGAGTTGCTCGGGGAAGCGAAGATCGCGACCCTGCTTGTCTTCTCACTCCTCCGCGACA